TTATCTACTCTACAAGTATTAGTAATGAGTATTTGAGTGGGAGAGTGAAGAGTGGAAAAGAGCGAACAACTTAACTACGCTTTCATTGCACTATTATCATCTTAACGAAAACAAGGTTGCCACATTGCTAAAATTGGCGGCACACAAACCAAATCATTCGATGAGCTGACATTGCTGTTCAATTTTCATTTCGTGACCAAGAAGACCTTCTTAATTCGCATACTTGATTCCAAACTGTTTTTGCGTCTGCCAATGATAACAAAAACTGCTCTCGCTCTTATCATTTTAGTAGGGTACGAAACACATATTGAGCTTTGATATGGATCAGATGCTTTCTGTTATTCCATAATATACATATAATGTATGTATATTTATTCGACTTTGGATGGCGCGTTACTTACACATCAAATCATCAATATTAGGGATGTGTTTGGCGGGCTGTATGCGTGATTCACTTGAACAGATCTCATTCGAGYTATCATCATTAATATTAACATTAACATTAACATTATTGTTATTATTATGGTGAGCTGTATTCTTGTTGTTGTGGCCCGATTTGCTTTTATTRCTAACTCCAATGGCCGCACGCCACGAAGCGCGCCATGAATTTTTTTTAGTGGAGATCATTTGAGCCGTTGGCGGACTGGCCGTGGCAGCCAGCGAGGCGTGCGTAGTTGTTGTTGCTGACGACGATGATTTTTTGTCGTTATGTAATTTGAATATTTTCAAGTTGAACGAATATTTTGAGTCGCGCGCGGGCACTTTCATTTTAAGTGCGTCGCGTCTTTTGTGTATTTAATAACTTAACGAGTTTTTTGCACTGAGCATAGCATAACAGTCATTCAGTTAGTTATTCTCAAACATTAGCTGCTTTGTGAATTTGTGTATTTACATTGTTGCCAGCCCGAAAGCCAGCACGGTAAATGCTCTCAAAAAGAAAAACAAAAACACAAAAACCAAAAACTGATAGCTTTGATTTCGCCGTTTTGTTTTGAACAGGCAGCGCGCTCGCGTCGGGTATCCGTTTGACCGATCGCTAGCAGGCGTGAAACGTGTTTGAATGAAATTTCATTGTCACTTCGTTAAAAACGATGCCAATACGCTGATGCCGACCGTCCCAGCAGCAGCAGCGGCAGCGGCAGTCGCAGTTGCTGGCGGCAACAGCCGAGCTGGCGGCTACGTCACAAGCGCGCTTGCACAAAACAACACATGAACAACACATATGTATGTATGTATATATACAGGCAGGTCTAGGCATGCCCGTATATATGCAACTTTTACATACATACCTAAGTATATTAATGAGGAGACATCGTGTCAAGCGAAGCCCAACTTAAGCATTGCGAAAGCAAATTTCAAAAATAAAATCAAATTAACGATCACCGTTGAACCAGCCAAATACCCTTGACATAAGCTCGAACTGAATGCACGACGGGCAACGGTCAATGGTCAAGTAAGATCAGTTTTGTATGCAATTTAACCAGATCAATTACAATGCAAATTGTTATTTCGAAGACAATCATTAATTTACAATCATTGAACATTAAATCAAATGTACTCATTTCGTATGCCAGCAGGGCGCAAGAAAAGAGAGAGCAATAAAAAGGTGAAAAAGTGGCGCCCAAATCAAAAAAGAAGACTCAAAGTAAGCTTCGAGCTTGAGTACAATACAATCATAGATACGTACACTCAGTACATACATACACTATGTGGTATATTGTACTTGTTAAAAAGTGGACAGAACCAAAAAGATTTTCGAGCCGAAACTATAATACTCTTTACTATCAGAATTTGTACAATAAGACTGGCTTTTGTAAATATATTTTTTAATTAATTAATTTACACTTACCTCTTCCCAGCTGGTGGCAAAAGACAATTTCATCATCCTGCATTTTGAAAATAATACAAAGTCCGTTACTGTCTAGCGTTAAATACCGGCAATAGTGTTAATCCCAACACAAGTTGAGMGGGACTGAAGACGTGTATCCGTCGTTGGCACCTGCAGCAGTTGTTGTTGTTGATTGTTTTGTTGGGGAGAGTGCGTGAGAAAATTGGAGTGTTGGCGAGCGGCGATGGTAATGCAACACCCGTTGCTGCTCACATTGGCTAAGATGGCTACTGGTTGGCGTTTTTGTAGCACGTTACACTGCTTGAGTTGGCATTGGCATTGGAAACCGTATGACGAAAATATGTTTTCGCTTTGTTTACAATCTGTTTTTGCCGCCTGAAAGTTGAGTGCTATTCCAGCTGTTAATGGCTTATCATTTGATTTGATTAGCAATATCGTTTAATTCTTATTGCTGAATTGCGCACTTTGGAATTAACACATTACAAAAATTATGATAAAAATCTCAATCTAGTGGCCTTGCACGCTGTCTTCTTCTTGGCATTAAATGAGAACAGCTGTTTGCTTTGTTTTCTGGTCCAGACTAAAGATGAGTAACTAACTAACTATCGATTAGTGATGTTGTCTGTGAATTTATTGACGCGTTGGTTATCGATATGAATACAGATAAGACGTTTTAATATCGATATCGTTTTAAGCATTTTTGCGAAATA